GTTTTGCATTGAAATCCCCGCAAAACACAAATTCGCCCTGAGGAAGCTGGTCGAGAAGTGATTGGAAGTCAACTGGTTTTCTCGTGACATCTGGGGGTACATAGACATTCACTATTGTCAATTTTGTATTATTGCTCAATGTGATGGCTATGCCCATTGCTTCTAGAGGGTCCTCTACGTCAAGCGAAACAGAAATATAATTTAAGTTATCACTGACGTAGATGACAAGACCGCCGCCACATGTCGTGCTGCTCGGTCTGTCCCTTCTCTGACAAGTGTATCCGGGCAAGTAGATGCCGTTCTTGGTTGGTAGTAGCTTGGTTTCTTGGAGGCATATTATATCTTTCGGGTTGCGGGTGATGTATTTTCTCAGCTCAGCACATCTGGGAGCCAGTCCATTAACGTTTAGTTGTAGAACTTTTACCTGGCCCGCCATGATGACTGTCCGGATAAATGCCTCTCTGTCTTGTCTATTTATTGGTCAATTGGCGTTTCACATTCCATAGGAGGTACCTCATTAGTGTTCGTCTTTGGTGTTAAAACCGGCAAACAACTGGGCATATCGCCAGTGCTGTAGTGACGAACATGAGATATCCTTCTACGGAGTGCGAGTTTTGCCGTTTGATCGCCTTTTGTGGTTTCTTCGTCGTCGTCTTCTTCTCTTGATCTTTTTTTTACCGTGTTGATTTAATTAATCATGACACACAGGACATCGGCGTTGACCATGTGTGTCTTTATTTTGCCGAGTAGGCTTGCCATCTTGGTAGTTTGGTCCTCATTGGACACGGCCACCCTGAGGAACTCGATCATGAAGTTCATGAAGCCACTTTCAGTTTTAAATTTAGGAATGAAGTGTTCTTCATGAATCTTCATTTTCGGTTCCTCTTCTTTCTTGTTGGATGGATTTGTCTTCTGTTTGACCTCTACAGGTTTGGTAGATGTTTTCTTCTCTTTCTTCTTCTTGTCTTTACCTTTAGGGGTGGGGGTTGCATCGGACGTCGAGAGAGTCGGTGCTGGAGCTTGTTTTGGTTCCACCACCGGTTCTCTGACTACTTTTGCTTCTCTCTCCTTGTTCTTTACTTGCTGGGTTGCCTCCCTAAAGGTAAGTTTATCTTTGCTTTGCAGACGTAGCGCTGCTTTGGTCGCTTGTATTCTTGGGCATTGCGGGGAGTCGGCTTCGTGGCTGCACTTGCAGTTTGAGCAGTTAATTTTGCTACCCACCCTACACTCAGCCACCGTGTGTTCTCCTCCGCATTGGGCGCATACGTTTTTTCCCTTACAGTACTTTACCGTAGGTCCTAGTTTCTGGCAGTTGGCGCACTGCCTCACCCTCTGAACATAGGGGTGGTTACGGCGGTTGAAGTACACAATTTTAAGGGCCTCAGGTGCTGTACCTTTCTTGAAGGATAGGGCGACGCTTCCCTGATCCTTCCCCTGGGCCACATTAAACCGATATACCTCGGTAGCATGGTACCCCCTCTCTATGACAAGGTGATCGGTTCGGACACCGTCACGGTCATACCGAGAAGTAGGTTCTGGGCCAGCGCTAGGTCCATGTCAGACATACTTTTTAGGGCAAGTCTAACATGTCCCGGCACTGTGATCTTTATGTCGGGTATGTTGATAATACCCCACTTACTCTTCAATTCCTTCCCCACGGCCGTAAGTTTGGCTCCTTGGAAGGACTTACCTTCCAGTGGCCTCACAAGTACGACGTGGGTCTATTCTTCTCTCCTTTTTGTCGCAGGAAATAACTTTGGTGCAGGGCTGCTTTTAAAAGCGTCAGCCATTGACATGGGTGAGCTAGCCTCTGTCGCCATCGTTCTTATGCTGCCGAAAAGTAAAATCGAAAACAAAAGGAGTGACTGAACAGTGTTGATTAAGGAGTATTCTGTCTTTAATTAATGACGTAAGCTGATATACCTGTTGTTACCCCTTTCCACAAAGAAGCGCTAGTCAATCAGTGTAATTAATACTAATTAACTATGGGTTCCTATTGCTTGTATGGGTGTACTTAACAGTTATCAGGCTTATTAGCTATAGAAATAAATTAGCTTGTTATTGTTTTAAGAAGCTTGTGACGAGTTCAATCAGTTGATTGGCTTGTACACTGAGCTTCTTTGTTAGTAGATGATAGAAAGAAAAGTGAAATAATTAAATAGATACAGAATAGAGAAAAATAGAAATAATTAAATAAATAAATAAAGATAGGAAGGTGGTATATAGAGTTGAAAAAAGGGGTAAAAAGAAGAAGTAACAAAAAAATAGATTAAATTAGGAGTGGAGAAATATGAAATAGAAATAAGGTAAAAATAATATCCTAACAATATCCTAACAATAAAGCACTGAGGAAGGAGGAAAGGAAAAGAAAATAAAGTAAATTAAAGAAAATAAAGTAAAATAAAATAAGATAAATTAAGAATGCAAAATATAAAGAAAATAAACCTTACCTTGTGAAGGTATAAAAATAAAAACAAAGACAACCTTAAATCTATTTTTGGACTAGATGATCTTTGTAGTATCTAGTGGTCTTTCTGGGTTTGAGAAGTCTTTTTGGAGTTTTAGCTAAGCTACTTTATCTGAGATAGCTTTGGAGCTCTGGTGCATTGTAAAATTAATTCAGCTATTAAGGTTTAAGTATCCGAAAGCCAAAAACGGTTTTCAAATTTTTAATTACAGCCTTAATCCTGTTGATTGGCTGGTGACGTCACAGGCACTACACATACTATATACATTATCTATACAATATATCACTGTCTACAATATATCACTGTCTATAAACACCACCAGTTGACAGTGTGTATTTGTCGGTCCAATTAACATGTGACTGGCCTAATCGTAATCCCTGTTTCAGGATTTTACATGGAGGGTAAATGAAGATCTGTGTGGTAGTGACCACTTTCCTATCTTGATTGATAATAATGGTCCCTCTCCGGTTAAAAGACCTCAGAGGTGGCAGTTGCGTAAGGCTGATTGGGCGTTGTTTGAATCTTTGTGTCTCTTTTCTTTTGATGCAAAGGAGTTAGAAGATGCAGATGAGCCCATGGCCTTATTCACTTCAATTCTTCTAGATGTAGCTGAGCAGGCGATTCCTAAAACCACGACTAAACCAAAACGTTTCAATTAACCATGGTATATTTCTATAATTCGCTTGTGCGTAGGGGTCTTTAGCAGTGGGGGGAAACCGGAGGAACCGGAGAAAACCCACGAGGTTGGACAGGCGACCCTACTCCTTGTCATGTACAACCAGGGATTCGAAACCACGCCAGTTGACTCAATGACAGACCTTATGATAGAGCACGCACATGCTAACCATTCGGCCACCCAACCCCCCCAGTTTGTAGAACCTTGTGAACCCTCAAACGACAAAATTTATAATCTGATCTGTATGGAACTGTTTTGTAAAGGCCCCCAATTACCTACAAAGGAATAAATATGCAACAACCCTTGTTGACCGCTTGGATGATTTAGCTGCTGTGGGCGTATGTTTCATTGACTGGCAACCGATCTTTTAATACTTTGTATAATATACTCTTAAAAAAAAGTAGGGTGTATTGAAATGCAAATACCTATGCAGGTTGTGATATGATAAATAGTCATGGACTCTTGACATGCTTTGAGAGTATGTTCTCAGATGAAGAACTTATTGCCCCAACAGAACCACTGAGCTACACATGCGACATGAAATAGTGCCATACACGTGGGAAGGGTTCATTGTCAAATTTGACAGTTCAAGGAAGGGTTGATGAAAACTGCAGCGTGCTGGTTTATCTATCCATATTTGCTTTCCTATCGGTTCTTGCATAAGATTTACTGTTTAGCATATCTTTGCTTTAGTGTGTTCGTTTATTTTGATCGCGTGATGTGTTTGTCGGCAGCAACGTTAACCGAAAACACTGCAAGAATGGGCCGTGGCACTGCAAGAGGAGTGTGTCAGATTGCCCCAAATCATGATTGGACGGTTGATTAGGAGCATGCCACGACGAATTGCTGAATGTCTGAGGATTGGTGGAGCAATTACTCATTATTAAAGGGACTATCCCGATATCAAGAGAGTCTCAAAAATAAAAGTTGGAGTACGTATGAAATTTAAGCGCCAAAATATAGAGGAATGGGGTATTTACCTTCTCTCAAAATTCCAGCTCAAAATATTGAGTCGTTTGGACGTGAATGTCAAAATTTCTTATCCAGACACGTAACCCTTTTAAGATTTCGGGTCAGTTTTTTCGTTGGGTGACCTGATAATCGATTCCCATTCCTTGAGAGATCTATGTAGTGAATGACCCATGTGCTGTACTTGATAACGAAAGGTAAATTTCAACTACATGTTATTTTTATAAAATAAAAGTCTGGTTTTATCCAGACACCGCATAATACAACTTGGGACACTGGTCTCCATTTCCAGACGAAGACTGACGAGTTTAAGTGGTTTGAAAACTTATCACAAATATTGAGTTAGTTGCTCGGCCCTCAGCTAGAGGATTTTAGGGCTGTCAGATAAAGGCCCATATAAACTGTTTATGTTCATGCGTAGGCAATCGGCCTGTTGTTAACATACACTGGTTAACTCTAATAAAAACAGCTGTGCATTTCCACAGTTTTGTATTGTTTCTGAATATCCCCTACTTTTTTGGAAGAGTATATATACCTGCCTACAAGACGCCACCACATCATATAAGACACATGGCAATTTCAGTGTTTGTATCCAGGATAAACTCAAATCACATGATTAGATATTGTTCATGGACCGTTGAAGTGAAAATAATGCATGCAGTGTGAATAATTTTTACGGTGACAATTAATGAAACTTTGTCAAAAGCCTTCGAAGAAAAACTTAATGCCTGCCAATCGGAATAAATGTCTTAAGTCAGCTGATTTTGTGTAGATTTTATATCAGTATTGTTTACATTATGATAAGTCTTTTATTTGCTAATGTTTTTTATCCTACATGTTCTAACAGTAGGATGTTAAACCCTATCTCATTCATTTCTATTAATAAGGTTTTTACAAGTCTGTCACTGTTCATTATGTTAATTGGACCATTAAATGCCTTCCCATGGGTAATCAACGGTTTGATGGAATCGTGGGTATCGTTAAAAAGAGTGGAAGAGTTTTTAAAATTAGAACAACTAGATCTGGCTTCTTATTATTCACCACATTTAGGTAGGTTTAAAATTTAGAAATCTGTACTTTGATTTTCATAGATTCAAGTCCCAACATTTTTTTTTTTTTGTGGGGGTGGGGTGGGGGGCGGGGAGGTCTCAATTTATGGCAATTTATCATATCTATTTTCATGGGTTTTCTGTATAAATGCAACTGGAATTTTGGAACTTGTGTTCTATCTAATCCTTTTTTTTTTTTTTTTTTTTTAAGATATTACAAGTTCTATAAGAGTGGATAAAGGTTTGTTTTCATGGAAATCAAAGATAAATATTTCTCCGTCAAATAGTAGCCTTTCAAGTCAAACAAATTCAGCAGTTTCTTCTGAGTCAAATATTAGCTCTGTAGCATGTCCAACACTAGTATTATCAGATATAAATTTACATGTACAAAAGGTAAAATAATATATACTACCAATACATTGATTACATCATCTTTCTTATAAACAATTTGAGAAAATGTATTTTAATCTATATGGTTTTGACATAAAGTCACCATACTAGATCTGCAGTTAAATGTTCAATCCTAGTTTCCATGAACAAAGGCATATGATCACCGATCTACCCATATTAAATATTGTTGTGAAGTTTTTACTCTTTATTAAGCTGCTCAACAATTCTCAATAATTTTCAGTGCTTATTCTGATAATTAAAAAAAAAAAAAGTCATACTGAAACCAGAGATTGTGACAATGTGGTCTTCGGAATTGCAATTGATTTACTGGTAAGACAGAACTGTGGAAGGTAAAAAAAAAATGAACATTCAGATGAAGTACAGATAACAAAAGAAAACGTCTCATAAATTGTCTTGCTGCTATATATTGCTCATACCTGATATAACATTGTTTACCAGTAACCTAAATAAGTTGCATTTCTTTTTTAAGGGTCAACTTCTTGGCGTAATTGGTAAAGTTGGCTCCGGCAAGAGTTCCTTATTACATGCACTGCAAGCAGAAATGCAAAAAAAAGGAGGAAGGATCAGTTTAGAAAATATAGAATTAGGCTTTTCATTGGCTACTCAAGAACCGTGGTTGCAGCATGCTACAGTTCGTGATAATATATTATTTGGACAGTGTTATCAAACCGGAAAATATGATGCTGTTATTCAGGCTTGTGCTCTTTCAGAAGACTTCAAAGTAAATATTTACTGTTCTTGATAATGTGAGAATTTGGTACCATTACGATCACAAACCATAGAGTAACTCGCCATTTATATTAAAATCTCTGAGGACTGTGAATCAGTGTAAATCTGATGCAGGACAGAGGTCTTAATGGAATTTTAGAAAGGGGTAAAGAAATCCAAAAATTTTTTGAAGAGCTATCTTTCTAGTTATATTTTAACTTTTAAAGCTTTGAACTTATTACCATCTTCATGGTGGTATTGTTTTAAAATTGGTGTAATTGTTAAGTGAGGCCTAAAGAGGAACCCTATTGAAATTCAGAAAAATTTCAATCATAGGTTTCAGACTTATCTCTGCTTATTTTCAAATTTATGAGATCTTGTTTTAGGATAGAATTCTTGATGGAAGATTTCAAAACATGATGATATCTTTCATAGGGCGTAAGGAAGGAACATATGAAATTTAAAAACTTGTGGATTGACAATTTCGAATGCTCTCTGTTCATATTTTGGTTCTAAATCATATTAATGTTTGTTGCGTATTGCATGTGTGTGAATTTTCATTTTTTGAAAATCCCTTTATCATAAAACTAGCAAATGACATGCTTCAAAACTACTTATATGTGACCGGCCGCATCTAAATGAGTCGGAATGCGCGAGAATCAATAATGAGATAAAGACAAAATAAGTGAAAATATTGATTTTGAACGAAATTGAGATTTTCACAAAAATGAGACTATAAATATACTATCTATCAACACAGAAGATCAAAATAGCAATAAAACTTTTTAAAACACCTGTATTTGAACGTTTTGTAAGAGTACCGTATTCTTAAATCTGTCCTATTTCTTAAAATTCTCGGCGAAATTAGTTATTTGTCTTCGCTCGCAGCGGGACGACCGGTCATTCCTCTTGTCAAATTTAAGGGAATCTGCGAATCAAGTTTCTTGTCCTAAATTAAGTGTGAAAAAATGTTGAACAAACGTGATTTACCGTTCCACTGCGTACAGACATTTTAATCCCTTTGATGTCGGTCAACGAGATTATACGTAGTCAAAGATTAGTCAATAAACTAATTGTAAGCTAACCTTTTAACATTCATTCAGTTCACGATCTAACTAAGTAATTAGTACAGACGTTAAATTTGATAATCCCGTAAATATACACAAAACAATAATGTTTATCTGTAACCATTTCCCTTTGTAAGAATTGACCACGTGTTCCCATCTGGCATTCCATTTGCCATCACACAACATTTTAGTCATTTTCCATTCACTGAACAATAAAATATTACGTAGGCTATAATCATTCGAAATACCACCCGAATCGCTCACTGTTATTAGCTATACACACCATTTAACAAACTACTTTGCGACTAAAATGGCACTTGGTTCATTTTGGCGGGAAAAAGGTCACGTGGACAAAGAACAACAACGTGGCAACAATGCATGCATTGCATACGGGTGTCGATGCTACAATGCAATTTTAAAACATTGTTTTATAATGAAGACAATCAATAATCCTTATAAGACATAAAGAGGTAGATTTCACAAATTAAAAACACTTATTTGGATATACTACTTCTGAATTTATTAACATGCTACGTTTCGATACACATACAGATATCGTTATCAAGCAAATAATGATTTTTAACAAAAATGTGGTGCAATATATAGTTAACAATTGGAAACCATGTAACAGATTAATCCTTAATTATGAATTAACAAGATGAGAAAAGTAATAATATGGATAAACAATTACAAAGGATTAACAAATTAAAAGATTGTAATGTATTGATAACAATTAGAAATTATTTGAATTTAGCAGATCAAACTAATAATTATAAGAGATTAACGAGATGAGAGATAGCAATATATAGATAACAATTAAACTCTAACTACAAGATGAAAAGGGTTAACCGCACATGCAAGAAATCGAAAACTAGGGGAAAGAAATAATAATTATAAGAGATTAACGAGATGAGAGATTCAGCAAAATTCTGTCATAGACTTAATCAAAATAATGTGAATGGCCAGTGACACTAGGGACCGCGTATCATTCAGATTTGATGAAAAAAGGAAAGAAACTGAGCTTACCATCTATATAGATAATCTCCTACCAGTCTTTTTTGATATCAAAAAATATCAACACAAGTTGATAAAGTAACAAAAACGAGGCTCTGCCGAGTTTTTTTTACTTTATCAATGAGTGTTGATATTTTTTGATATCAAAAAAGATGAGTAGGAGATTTTATTTATCACCCAATTCCTTCTTATATGCACAAATAGATAAATATAATTCTTTGCTGTAGATTTCACTTTTACTGAACATTACGGCGTAGTGATACATGTACATCATTTTTTGACAGTAATTCAACCATTGCAAAGTCCTTTATATTGACCTAGTGTTTCCATCAAGGTCAATTGAAATATATTTTCCTGTGGTTGAGGGAACCGAATTAGGAGGGAAATAATTTCTCTCCATATGCGTAGTGATATATGGGGTATGAAGTACTATTTGTCAGTAAATAGACTTACGGAGTCATTCAGGTCGAAGTCGATCAAGACAGATCAAGATCATGACTGGAAGTTTAAGGGAAATAAGATTCAATTTGGTTTTAACGTAGAACTGGTAGATAAGATACAACATATTAGAAATGCAGTTAATAATGACCACAGAGAGATTGTAGATGGTTTACTAGAGGAGGTTTTGAGTAAACTAAGTGAAAGAAATAAATTGATTAAAATAGCTGATTCGTCTGCAGGTGGCTGGGAGACTGTCAACCAGTATGTAGCTAATCCCTTGGCCAGTGATTCGGAAGATGAGAGAAGGATTAGTAGAGCTGAACAGAGAGCGTTGAAGAAGAGAAAGGAGTTAAAAGGTAGATCTTCCGTTCCGAAGAGAAGGAGATTGTATGATAACAATGGCAGTTCGGTGACAGCAAGTTCATCTAACTTGGCTTCTTGTGTTCCTGCAACCGGTGGCGGGGGTAGGAACTATTCTTTTCGTCCCCAACAAAACAGAGGGTCTTGTTTCAACTGTAGAGAATTTAATCATTACAGAAGAGACTGTCCCCACACTAACTCTTAAAACAACACCACAACCGTTAAGTCAACACAGTGATGAGATTTCAACTTGTATAAAAGATGAGTATTTTCATGATATTAATGATTGTAATCTAGATCAGCCGGTCGTAGAAAGATTTACGCATGATTTTTTCGAATACGAGGAGGGTCAAGCTAACAATTTTAGTTAAAGGTCGGTTACGAAAAAATGTAAAATTCTGGAAAGATATTAATTGTAATTCGTATATATTAGATGTTATTAAAAATGGTTATAAGATTCCTTTTAATGATGTTCCAGATTTTAAGTTCTTAAAAAATAATAGATCTGCTTTAGATAATTCAGATTTTGTAGAAGGGGCTATTAAAGATTTAGAGGTAAGGGGTCTGGTGAGTAGATGTCAAGTTCCCTCAAGAGTTGTTAATCCACTATCAGTGTCTATTCAGAGCAATGGCAAGAAAAGATTAATTTTAGATTTGAGAGAGGTTAATAAATTTGTCGGCAAGCAGACGGTTAAATATGAGGATATTCGTACAGCATTGTTATATGTTAAGGAAAAGTCTTGGATGTTCAAGTATGATATACATGCTGCTTATCATCATGTAGAGATTTGTGATGCACACACTCAGTTTTTAGGTTTCTCATGGGTGATGAATGGAGTTGCAACCTATTATAAGTTCTTGGTGCTACCGTTTGGTTTAAGTACAGCACCTTATATATTTACTAAATTATGCAGAGTTCTGGTTAAGAAATGGAGAAGTGAAGGTAAATATATAGTTATGTATATCGATGATGGTTTGGGTGTACATGACGATTATAATATGGCACATAAGGTTAGTCAAGATGTTAAGAAAGATCTTTTAGCTAGTGGGTTTGTTCCCAAAAATGAGAAGTCAACTTGGGAGCCTGTACAAGAGGTACTCTGTTTAGGAGTGGTGATAAATTCTGAAAATGCGAATTTGAGAATTCCACAAAGACGATTAGATAAAGTTTTACGATGTATTGGTCAAATTCAGCGTGATTGTATATCGAATAAGGCAGTAGCTGTGAAAAAGATAGCGAGTGTTGTTGGTCAGATTATATCTATGTCTATTGTTGTTGGAAGTATTTCCCAAATCATGACACGATCATTGTCTATTGGATCTAGTTGGGATTCTAAAGTATGTATTTCGGAACAGAGTATTCAAGAGTTATTTTTCTGGAAGGAAAATATAAGTAAAATTAATTCTAAAGTTTTAAATTTTCAGCCTGGCTGTGAACTAATAGTGTACTCAGATGCTAGTAATGAAGGGTATGGGGGCTATTGTGTACAAGCTTATCGGGATGTTGTTCATGGTTTTTGGACTGCTGAGGAAGCGGTTAAGAGCTCTACCTGGAGAGAACTTGAAGCCGTTCGACGTATTCTTAAATCTATAGTACATATCTTAAAAAACAAAAGGTTGAAATGGTTTTCAGATAATCAGAGTGTGATTTCTATTGTTCAGAAAGGTAGTATGAAGACAGAATTGCAATGTATTGCATTTGAGATATTTGGCATTTGTTTAGAAAACGGAATTATTCTAGAGATAGAATGGATACCTAGAACAGGGAATGTTAGAGCAGATTGTCTAAGTAGAATTGTTGATTATGATGATTGGGCCGTTGGAGATGGGATTTTTAAATATATTAGTAATATATGGGGACCTTACGAAATTGATGTATTTGCATCAGAACATAATCATAAGTGTGATGTATTTTATTCTAGATATTGGGAGTCCAAATTCCTCAGGAATAGATGCATTCTCTTTATCATGGCAGGGTAGAAATTGTTTTATTGTACCACCCGTGTGTTTGATATCACTTGTCATGAAATATGTGGTTGAATGTAAAGCTTATGGTACAGTAATTATTCCGTTATGGAAATCGGCGAGTTTTTGGCTGTTGATTTGTCCGAATGGTTACAAGTTTATATCT